CATATATGACTACTTGATGAGATATGAACTACTTGATGAGAACAAGAAAACATGCTGCTCTCTTGTTTTCCAACAGTGAGTCTTGAAGATACCTTCTCCCTCCGTACCATTTTCTGCATTGTGCAGACTGGCTAGATAAATATGTAATGTTCTTTTTTCCTCTTAGAACTGATACACACTAAGTCCACACTTAGTCCACACTAACCTCAAGTCACAACAAATAAACCACATTTTCCTTTTCTTTAATTGCATACTCTAAAAGAGTGCAGATTTTCTTTTTTTTTAGCATTTGAACAGCTTCACATTGAGAAAGAAATGTACAATTTCAGGTCCAATTATGAACAATTTTGAAATAGTAAATTATTAACTGCATGATTCAGGACTCTTTGATCTTTACTCCTGTTTTACTTTCATGGATGATCTAATTCTTTGTTGTACAGATTTGTACAGGCTTTTTCCTTAAAGGCTGTAGTCCTAACTTGACAAGCATCACCCACAAACAGGCTAGGAATGCACATGTTTTTTTCTTATTTGCCAGTTTTTGTTGGGGTTTTTTTCCCTCACAAAACTGCTGCTTACATTCTCTTTTCAGACTATCCTCTGCAAACCAGACAGGTGGTTGCATGTGAAAATCCCAGTGGATGAGCAGTTTCTGAAATAGTCAGATTACTCAGTCTGACACCCATAATGTCAAAGTCATCTAAATTTCATTCCTATTATTTTCAAACCTCAAGTTCAAACTTCAACAAGTCACCTTCAGGCAAACTTGCACATATTCTCCTGGCTGTAATAGGAAACTGACCTATCTACCCACGAGTGTAGGTTTGATTTCAACTTTGGTAGGGACATTATTGGTCTGATGTCATTGGTCCTATGCAAAAATATGCATGCTCATTTTTTTATGCTTGACGTGAAAATCAGGGTGTATTTTGTTTAAAGAGAAAAGCAGCATTTTTTGCTACATTTGTACAAATTTTATAAGCTCTACCTACACACACTAGATGCTGTTTGTCAATGTTTGAAGCATCATCGGCTCTGATGAATGAGGAATTATGACTTTTTTCCACTTTGAAAAGGTTTGCATTTTAAATTACCAGCGACTATGACAGAAAGTAAATATGTGCCTATTTAACAAAATATAGTCTGAATATGGCTGTTATGGATTTATCCTGTTTTTTTTGAAGATATACAATTGTACAGAGGTAAAACTCACTCTTATTTTATAAATATTCTTTCTGTATCATGAAACAAAGCAAAATAATAGATTCAAAGAACACCAAATAAATTTATTTTATTTACATCAGCACTGGAACTGACACTGAACATTTAGAATATTAATTTCACTCTACAGGTCATCTAGGCTGTAGTTACTCTATTTAACCCATATCATATACTTTATCTTGCTCTAAAACAATTCATCGGAATAGACGATTATTGAAATTTCAACAAATTCAGTAATCAATTAATCGTTAACTGGAGTGTAGAGACTCTAAAACATGTCTTTAGCTCACACAGCAACCCAATTAGTGTTAGAGTTCTGGTTCTGTTATGTTTTTCTTTTGGATGTTCAGTTTTGCTTTGCTCCCTTTTTTCTAGTTTTTTATGGTTTAAGTCTTATTTTGTTGTGTTCTTTGTTTTTTTTTTCTCACATTACTGTCTTAGTCTTGGTTCTGTTATACTTTCTTTTGAGTTTTCAGTTTTGCTTTACTCTTTGTTTAATAGTCTTAGGGCCGGATCTATCAAAGGTTTGCGAGTATAAAAACGTGAGCTACACTATATTGCCAAAAGTATTTGCTCACCCATCCAAATTATTGGAATCAGGTGTTCCAATCACTTCCATGGCCACAGGTGTATAAATTCAAGCACCTAGGCATGCAGACTGTTTTTACAAACATTTGTGAAAGAATGGGTCGCTCTCAGGAGCTCAGTGAATTCCAGCGTGGAACTGTGATAGGATGCCACCTGTGCAACAAATCCAGTCGTGAAATTTCCTCGCTCCTAAATATTCCACAGTCAACTGTCAGCTGTATTATAAGAAAATGGAAGTGTTTGGGAACGACAGCAACTCAGCCACGAAGTGGTAGGCCACGTAAACTGACGGAGCGGGGTCAGCGGATGCTGACGCGCATAGTGCGAAGAGGTCGCCAACTTTCTGCAGAGTCAATCACTACAGACCTCCAAACTTCATGTAGCTCAAGAACAGTGCGCAGAGAGCTTCATGGAATGGGTTTCCATGGGCGAGCAGCTGCATCCAAGCCATACATCACCAAGTGCAATGCAAAGCGTCGGATGCGGTGGTGTAAAGCACGCCGCCACTGGACTCTAGAGCAGTGGAGACGCGTTCTCTGGAGTGACGAATCGCGCTTCTCCATCTGGCAATCTGATGGACGGGTCTGGGTTTGGCGGTTGCCAGGAGAACGGTACTTGTCTGACTGCATTGTGCCAAGTGTAAAGTTTGGTGGAGGGGGGATTATGGTGTGGGGTTGTTTTTCAGGAGCTGGGCTTGGCCCCTTAGTTCCAGTGAAAGGAACTCTGAATGCTTCAGCATACCAAGACATTTTGGACAATTCCATGCTCCCAACTTTGTGGGAACAGTTTGGAGCTGGCCCCTTCCTCTTCCAACATGACTGTGCACCAGTGCACAAAGCAAGGTCCATAAAGACATGGATGACAGAGTCTGGTGTGGATGAACTTGACTGGCCTGCACAGAGTCCTGACCTCAACCCGATAGAACACCTTTGGGATGAATTAGAGCGGAGACTGAGAGCCAGGCCTTCTCGTCCAACATCAGTGTGCGACCTCACAAATGCGCTTCTGGAAGAATGGTCAAAAATTCCCATAAACACACTCCTAAACCTTGTGGACAGCCTTCCCAGAAGAGTTGAAGCTGTTCTAGCTGCAAAGGGTGGACCGACGTCATATTGAACCCTATGGATTAGGAACGGGATGTCACTTAAGCTCATATGTGAGTCAAGGCAGGTGAGCAAATACTTTTGGCAATATAGTGTATTTCACATCGCACGCTAAAAAATGTGCAAACTGATCTATCAACAGCGTGCTAAAAGGATTTGGTCTTTAAAACGTGCTAAATAGCGCCTGTTATCCATTTAGTACTTTCTCTGCAATGAATATGCAATATGGGGCGTTTACACGCAAAAGTGCGTCTTGTGGGAGGAGAACATGTAAATATATTAATTTAGCACTCGCAAAGTGATTTATTAAACCTGAAAGCAATTTTGCTAACGGTATCTGACTCTATATTTAACACGTTTCAAAAGAAGGTGCAAATGGTCTGTATGCGTAATTGCGCACACATGGCAGCGGTTATTGTAGCAAGAAGGAGACATCGAAATGAAGCAAGGAGACTCAGAGAACGCATTTTTTCACTCCGTGTGAATATTTTTGGAATGAACAAGGAAACGATCATCAAAACATTTCGTTTATCCAGCATTGCCATTTTGGTGCTGCAATTCCAGTGATTTGCTCCTCACAGAGCGTCAGCTGTACTTGTTCCTCAATGCTGGTCAGAGGCATCTCATCTACTGTGCCCCCTCCTCTTTTGTTCGCAGATGTTTTGTTATATGCCAGTTTTTCTTTGGGTCGCCTTCTAATATCCTGGTATCTTCTTTTTACTTCATCCACTGTTCGCAAGGTTTCACCAACAGCGTTTACTTTATTACTGATTTGTTCACATATAGCGTTCCTCTGTGATAGTCACACTTCTTTGCTGTAGCTCACTTAAATGTTTATTGGCTTCATCCACCAACACCTCCATTTCCATGGGGTCAAATTTCCTTTTGCGCCTTCTGCTGTCCAAACTCGCCATGCCGCAAACCACAAAACGCGCAAAACCGTCATTTAAATAGGGCGTCTCCAACAGTTTTGCACCTGTCACCAGTTACGCAATCGCTCTTGTTAAATCACCCGCAAACCATGGTTCAGCCCCTCGCGCAAAATTCCAGTTTGCGAGCGCAAATTACTGCACGCAAAATTGGATCTTGATAAATCCGGCCCTTAGTGGTTTAATTCTTATTTTGTTGTGTTTTCTGGTTATTTTCAGTTTTCTAGGTTATTAATTTCTTGCCCTCTGCTGCCCTCTTGTGTTCTCCTTTTCCCTAGCTCTTTTCCTCTCCTTCTCTGTGCACACCTGCTCCCAGTCTGCTCATTAACCCTCTCTTTGTTTCAGTCTCATATAAATACTCTCTCTGTTCTGTTCTTCTTTGCTGGGTCCTCATCAAACTCCCCCCAACTCTGTCTCTCTGAGCCTTCCTCCTTGTGATTGTGATCCTCCTGATGTCTCCATGGTTTCTGGTTTGTTTGACTTGTTTTCATGTTTTGATTAATGGATTTTTGGACTCCTGATTTCCTGCTAGTTTCTTTTTTGGATTTTGGATTCCTGTCTGTTTGGACTTAGTTTTCGTTTTTGGATCTTTGGATTACCTGTCTCTGTTTTAAGTTAACTAATAATTAAATCCACAAGAAATTCACCTCTGCCTCCCTGCCCCTGACCATAACCAAATCCTGACAGTTGGAGCAAGAATTATACCAAAATTGTAAAAAAATATCTAAATAAAAAAGTTTTGGTTTGTCAATATTCTCCATCCCTTCTACTGCTGCAACAAAGCTGCATTGTAAATTATAAACATGTTATTCACATCTAATTGATGGTAGGGATAAGTAGGTTGGTCCAAAATTTTGGTAGGGACTTGTCCCTGTGGTCCCTATGCAAACCTACGCCCATGTACCTACCTATAGATGGTATCGTTTGTATGTAGTTTTTTTTTTTCTTTTTTTTTTTTTTATAATCTATTTGAAAAAAAAGAGGTCGCCTTGGAGCTGGAAGCAGCAAAGTGTACAGATTAAATCATTTGAAGATATTCTTTCATTTTTATTCTAGAATCTAGAGCACTTATGTTTTAGACAGCCATAACATTTTATTTTGTAGCTGCTCACAGGAAGCAGTGACTCCCACTACTTTGGAGAGCTTTACATGGGATGTCCGAGAGCTCAGAGCGCACACGTCGCCCTCTCCACTGTATCTCACCACTGCGGTAGGATCGGGGCGGCAGGCAGGCAGCTGGTAACTTATAACGCAGCTCACTCGTTCCTGCTCTGCTCAATCCCAGAGACGACTTTATCACTTAGGAGATACTTTCCCCTGTAAGGACACCCTACAACAGCCTCTCCCAGGTTTTCTCCTGTAGCCTGGTGAGAGCGGTGGAAGGAGAAGTTTTTTTGATGGTGTGATCTGTGTATGTTTTTAACCACATCACCATAACCTTGGAAGACACACCTGATCGCAGAGCAAGGATGGGACCGCTACTCCCTTTCATCGTGTTGTGTTTGAGCGCCGCTGTCCCACACAGTGTGAAAGGTGAGTGAAGCAGTCATTATGTTGTTTAACATTATTGGAGTCGAAGTGACAGACTGATTGGTGCTGATCGCGGTGTTTACAACATGCATTGAAAGTGCTCATATTTTTAACTAAAGAAAAAAAAAAGCATAAAAACGTATGTGGGTCTGTCTTGTTTGGAGATCAGGATCATTGGTGTGTAATGTATTCAGGGTACTTTTAAATCAACCAAAGTGGATGATTGTTTCTCTTGGATGTTTTGCGCGTTAGGCGCGCAGAGTTGATTTAAACATTGGTATTTCTGCGCTCCCTTCTCCAGTCGGTAATCAGCTGTCTCGCTTTCCTCTCTGTGAAATATGCTGAGCGTCTAGATTTAACAGCTTCTACTATAAGATTACCTCATTTTCTTAAACAAGCTGGATTCTAAGAAGTCAAAGACGGATAAATGAAAAAAAAAAAAAAAGGTTAGTGGGGAAGCTTGATCAGGAAACAAAGAACAAATTACGCATTTATGTAAGGCTGCGATGTTATTGACCATAGCGCCACAAAAAGGTCAATTATGCACTTTAATCTAATCTGGAGTGTTAGTATAAGAGCCCCGGCTGTCTTCTCCAAAGAAGGAATTGCTGAATGCTTATAGATTTATCTATGCACTTTAAGATACATTAAAAATCCCATCCTCTCCCCCTTTTACGCTTTCAGTTTTCTGGATGTCGGGAATGTTAAGTTTTTTTTCCTGCTTTAAATTTGTCACTGGTCAGGAGAAAACCAGTATACCTGTGGGATGTTCTGTGAAGGAAACAGCCTGCAGTTGCCCTAATGGAAGTGGGTCATGCCATCCTCCTTGTCTTTATCCATTTAACGGCACACTTGCCTTAGGAGTAACACATGTCAGACAGACCTCGGTCTCTAAACAAGGAATCTGCCTGGAGCAGACTTTCTAGGCTACCTGAGCCACTGTGTCAACTCAGTGAAAACCTTTGCAAGACATAATACTCCCTGGTAGACTGGCATAATGAATCCTGAGGAGAAGAACAGAGCTTTGGTGCTTTGGGACAACTTGTTTCAAGGCTCACAGAGTTAAAAATACTCCTCGGTGGTTCTTATTTAATCCCTATACATTTTTTTGAAATATTATCTTTTTTATATAGAGTCACAGTATGATAACCTTGGTGTTTATATAAAAAAAAATAGAAAGAAAGGAAACAACATTTACCAACACTATTGCCAAAATGCTACATAGCTACTTTACGCTGCTGTTGGATAGAAATGTAAACATTTCAGGAAAAAAGTAGTTTGATTCTTACTACTGAATTATTAAATTTACATGCTCTGTTTGATAGTTTTGATTGGAAATGTAATAAATAAAATAGAAACAAAAGGGGACAGTGATTACTATTGCACATTTTTACAGGGAAATAAATATGTCTAAATTGTAAGATGTTTTTTTCTGTTTTCCAAATAACTGTTTGAGCTATTTGTTATATGACTGTTATTCTTATACAAAACATTTACTAAAATATTTGTATCATAGGTTTTCATTCTACTTCTTACAGAATTACACTAGGAGTAAATAAAACCGATAACAAGGAGTTTGGTTGGACTATCTTCTTGTGAAGGAAGTCTGCAGTCTACCACCTAGTCGTAAGTTAGTTTTTTATAGGAGGAAAATAAAAGTGTAAAATTAATGCAATAAATCAGGAGCAGAAGTGTTATAATAAGATGTTAAAACATATAAAAAGTGAAGACATGATGGTATCATATTAGGAAAGCAGCAGCAAACAGTAACAGATTTATTCCTTCCTCCAAGGAGCCTTAGGTTTCTATATACAGTAGCACGACTGCAGTATGTTTTGAGGGACTTGGTTTCAGATATGAGGAGCTTGTAAACGCTGCCCAATGTTGTTTGGCATTTGCACTGATAACAGCTAATAGTTCTCCTCTATTTAGCCTTAAGAGCATTTACTTACTTATAGTTCAATAATCAGTCATCAAAACCATTAGCTTTTTAAATCTCAAGTTTTTTTTTTTTTTTTTTACATTTCTATACAATTACTGTGTTTTGCCACCAACTTTGTCTTTCTTGATATTGAAATGTAGAAGTCTTCCTATATTGGAACATCCATTAGTTCAAAGCAACAACTAGAGGGGGGGGAATCAATAAAATTTAAGCCAGATTGGTCATTGAGGTTATATTTTGGCATCTCAAAAAAATTATTTAAAATGTTGGATTGGTGTGGGGAAGAAAATGCAGTTTTGTAGAGAAATGTTTATTGAACAAATGCTGATGATACAAGATTAAAATTCCCTGTATCTCAAATGTACAAGCTTAGTGTCACAAAATAATAATGTATTCTTATCAGTAGAAATCCTTTGTGCACCGAAGACATGTTTCACCTATCCGCAGTCATTACTCAATGATAGCAGGCGCCTTCAGAGATAGCCCAAAAAACAAACACTATTGGTGATGTCACACAGTGCCACTGAAATAAATTGATGTGCCAGAAACAATGGCCCCCAGGTAATAACAGAGTGCATTATTTCAAGTCTGTGCACAATACATCACGTCGTTTGGTTGCCGGTGCTGACTCTCACACATTGTTTGGTATTCTGCCTGTCAAGCCTGGACAAAGCAGATGGTTGCACTTAGTGTTTAGAAATGTAAGATTGTCTCTCTGTACTAAGACTCACTTTCATTTATTTATTATTTATTCATTACATAATACCGGTCCCCACTTTAGGGCTTTTAGGTAAATTGTAAGCCATCTTGATTAGCAATGTAATTGTCCACATTTAATTGATTGCAATTAATGTTAATGTTATTAGGTGGTGCTTTGTTTAGTCAGTGAATTTACTGTGTAAAAAGGTTGATTTTACAGCTGTTTGTTTGTCCTAATCAACTGTAAAAATGTAATTGTCAATAGACAGACAGGCAGACAGACAGACAAATAAATATTATATCAATTCTGCCATAGAAATAATGTGTCTGTTAGCAGCTAATAACTACAATACCATGGATATTCAAATATGAAATTGCAATTAACTGTTTTGTTTTCTAAGGATAACACAAATTGAAGCATAGCAGTACACTCAATAGATCTACACCATTTTGTCATAAAATGTGTGTGAAAGCTCTGTTGAATTAATGCATTAATGTCCTCCCCATGTATGTTATCCTTAAAGAAGAAAAAAATCAATTGCAATTCTATAGCTCTCTTGCTGAGTGCTCCAAGAAGAGCCTGTTACTGAATTTGAGCTATGGATGCTTTCATCGACATGCTAAGCCTTTTGAAGATGACCATCCATTGTCCTGCAATTTAGATATTCTATAGTTCACCCAAGTGCATTATTTGTGAAGCGGTATTATGGGTTTTCCCCACCCCATCACCCCTCTGAAAAAAAAAGAAAAGAAAAATTGGATTCAGTCCATTACATCCCCTCAAAGTAGAACACAATATTGTCAACTTAACTTTTTGGCCGTTGATTTTATATATTCATTTATTCAACTGAATTGTTGCATTTTTGAGTAATTTCGATATTATGTAATACACCCTAAAAAGGTGAAAAAAGTCAGCATTTTATGAACTGTTGAGCTGATGTGGAACAGAAAGGGATCAAAGTTAAGAAATAAAAAAAGATAAGTAAATTACAATAAGAGTATTACATTTATTTTTAATGAAGGTATTGGAACTTATCCTGAATCCTTTTACTAAAGTCCCTCAATGGGAGGCCCGGTTTTTGCCCTTGGTTCACCTTAAGTGGCTGTAAATGTTCCCGGGCCAGATACAATATACTGCAAGTTTATGGGTTTGCTTGAGAATCCTCTCTGATTTGAACTTGCGTTGAAAGCCTTCAAAACGGGATAACCCCAAAGGCATCCTGATCAGGTACCGAACCAACCTTATCTGGCCCCTTTCAATTAGGGATGGATCAATCCACATTGTTGCACCCCACTTCCCTCACATGAATTTTGATATCTGCTGGTCCTGATACTTTTCTGATACCAGAGCTCTGCTTGCTTAAATGTTATCCTCATCACTGTTGACTTTTAAAGAGGCTGTCATAAACTCCTTGCTACAATCAAGTATGATATATATGAATTCACACATGTATATCCCAAAAAGTAGGACTGGACAATAAAATAACAATATGTATTGCAATAGACACATGAAAATATATATATATATATAAAAAAATGGATAAGATATTCTCTAATTTCAATGAATCTTAATCCTGAACCACAAAACATTCTGTTGTTTGTAGGCAGAGAAGTATTTAGTCTCTAAACCTGTCATTAGCTAAGCAAGTTTGGTGTTAAGTCTGATCTCTTTCTAAAAAAAAAAAAAGAAGATTTTTATCCTAACCAAAATTCATTTTAGTAATAGACTGAATACATCTTTCCCTATAGATGGGGCCCAATTTTAATGATACCTAACTATTAGGGATGCACGATATTGGGATTTTGGCCGATATCCGATATGCCGATATTTTAAAAGCCGATAACCGATATCGATACTGATGTTAAAGCTGGACAAAAATAAGTAGTCATTGAAAATAGCAGTTTTGTTATCCATTTCTGACACTTTGAAAAATAATATACTCAAATATGTTTTCATATGCTGATATCAAATTGATTTTTAAAAACGCGGTATCGATCTATTTTACTTTCAAAATCTCGGGAAATTTCATCGTTCTGTTACAAACTCTCGTGATATTTTGCAAATTCTTGTGAGATTTTGTTAGTAAAATAGATCGATACCGCGTCAATATATCAACATATGAAAATATGGCAAAATTTCGTGAATTTCCGGGGGATTTCGTAGCATAACGATGACATATAGCAATATTTCATTAGTAAAAGAGATTGATATGGTGTTTTTAAATGGCAATATATCAGCATATGAAGATATTGTGATATTTTAATGTATAAATATTTTTTCCCTCGTCTTTAGAAGTTTTTAAGTCTGTAAAAAAGAAGTTTTTTTTTTTTAGACTTTAGAAACTCAGAAGCTGTTCAAATA